CCTGGGCTATTAGGAGATGCCTTTCCACCTGTACTGGAGCTTCTTTTGCAGGAAGGTGCTGCTGAGGTTGAAGAAGATGAAAGCCTTGCACAGTTGTTCTTTGAAGTTTGTATTCTCTCCTTATACGAATCAAACCAGGGACAATTGGCCTATAAACTGGGATCACAAATGCCCCCAGGTGTGGCAGCACTACATCATTTAAATGCAACCCCATACAAAGTTAGGGCTCTGGTTTTTTTTCTGTTGAATGTCCAAACAGTGAAGTCTCTACTGATAGAGTACAGTCAAGTAGGAAAGCAAGCTCTACAAGTACTTGCAAGGTTCCTACCTGAAATGGTCTCAGTCCAAGAGGTAAACCTGCAGTCAAACATGATCACTGATGGTAATTTGATTGCTTTTACAAAGTCACTCTCTCATGTGTCTCATCTGGAAAGGTTATCACTTGCAAACAACTGCATCACAGATCATGGTTTGGGGTTTCTAATCTCAGCTTTTAAAGATCTTCCAAATTTGGAACACTTGGATCTCCATGGCAACAAGCTCTCTGATGCAGGTTTTGGATTGGTAGCTCCAGCACTCTCACTCCTACCAAAGCTGAAAGAGCTGCGGCTTGGTTGTCCTGTGGTATCTGGGACAGAAGAAATGCCACAAGGTATAGGTGTACTGGTATTTCTATTTGTATCAAAGCATTGTGAGTTCTTTTAAGCTGTTTATACTGTTTTCACTCCCAAATCAAGTTTCCAATCTCAAGAACATTCAATACACTCAGGGCTTTTTGAAGCAAGAATAGTAGAGGCAATGGTAATGACAGCTTTGCCAGGTTAAGTTTGCCACCAGTTTCACATTAGTGGTGGGAAAAGGGTGTGGTTTAAAGGATTGGCTTTGGGAAGTTGAAAATTTAAAAAAAATCCTAAGCAGAATCACTCAGAATGGCATCCACTCAGAATGGATAAATTTCAGTCAAAATCCTTACACTTTAAAAATGTCCAAAATGGATATATTTTAACTTTAAATGTTTTCAGGTTATAATCAATTCAGATTGGTCTAGTGTGTACTTTCCTTTGTTTAAGGATAATGATAAGGTATCTAGAGCAAAGAGAAATAACCAGTCAGCTAGTCTGAAACTATCTTAAAACATGAAGTGTAAATCAATCACAGTGGAGAATGGCACTCCATAGTTTGTTCCATAACTAGTTGACCTAATCACTTGAAGAACAAAAGCAGTTTGCAGCCCACATCACAAGTGATTACAATATAAGACGGACCATATTACTTCACTTCTATATGCTTTTTGTGTTAAATGTCTTCTTTCAGGTGAAGAAAGGAGTTCACCCAAAGTGTTGTCTGAGACAGTGTTTAATTCCCTGATGGAGGCTGTCCATTCTCATGCAACGCTACAAGAAGTCAGGTGAGTGCTTCTTTAAACTAGTTTTTTAAGGTTGAGTGGAGGGACAAGACTGGTGAGCCCACAGCAAACAAAAATGGGTTTCATAACAAATAGCTCATATTTTGATATAATTTTTAGCCTTCAATAAAATTTCATGACATCTTCCAAAAAAAAAATGTGAAGAGAAAAGATATACTTGTTGCCTGGAAGGGTAAAGTCTTGATGTAAGACCACGAAAACAAATTCTCTCATTTAAAGTGATTCATAAGGAAATGTAAAGCACATGCAAGTGAGAATTTTGAAAACAGCCATTGGAAGTAAAAGATAAAATCGTTTTCTGTTTTAGCAGGGTACCTTCTTCTAACCTTTCCTACCGGGAGTATTTTGGTGTCCTTGAGAGTTTTGTTCCGTCATTGAATTTGATATCACAAACACAATTTAAAAAAGTATGAATAATAGAAACGTTGTTAGTCATGTGGTTATGTAACATTAATGATTTGTTTCTGTTCTTAGCTTGGACACAAAAGCCCTGCCATTGGGGCTGGATTGTTTAAAGTTTGACAGGCTCAAGATTTCCTGAATTATTGTTGAAGAAATCTTCAACACATTAAATCTTCAACAAATACCTCCAAATATGCAAAATATTTGTCATAGCAGTGGTTCCATTGGGCATTCATATGAAACTAGGATAAGGAGTTTGCCCCTGGTTGAAATGAAACGAGGAACTGTTTTTTTTTTTATAACTTGATTGAATTAAAAGATTATAGTTGGACAGAAACTTAATAATGTATAATAAATTCACTCTTCCTCTCTTACTAGTTATTCCCATTTTCTTTTTTTAACATCTTCACAAAGCTTTTTTTAATGGTGGCAAGTGGGAGTTAAAAATGAGGGGGGTAGGGGGGGGATTTTTTTTTCACACTACTCCCTTCATGAAAAAATTGCACTTCACTCCAGCCTCTTGCTTGCCTCCCTTTGCCAATAAAATGCAAAAAAAACAAAAAAAAAAACGACAACCTGTTCTGCAGGCTATTACTATTTTTAATTGTTTTCCTAAATGGAAAATTGATTGAATTTCATTACCATTGTAATTTATTAATTGTGTTGTAATATATAGATTTAGCCAAGCCTAAAAGCGGAGCTCGCATTTTTTTTTCCCGCACGTCTCAAACGCCTTGCCCCAGCCAGGACTGGAACCCGGGTCGTCCGACTCGGAGCCCAGTGCACTGACCACTGGACTACTGGACAAAGCCGTGACGTTGGCGTGCCCGCAGTTCAGTTGACGACGCATGTTAAAAGTAGCACCTTGTACGGTCGAACGGTCGTACATCCAACTTTTTTCGGCTTGATGGGTTACTACTATTTTGTATAATTGTGGGGCTAAGCTCTGCGAGCTCCGCTCTAAAGAATAATTTGACATGTACAATCATTTAATTGAAGTTGTACAACTGTAAATATTTAATGTCATAAGATTCATTTGGATCTCTAAACATTTTTAAATTGATTTCTTGTTTTACTCTAGGAGTAGTTATTATTAGTAAAATTATTGTAAACCATGACTCTCATCTAGTATTCTGATTTATTCATTAAAATTATCAGCTCAAATACCTCCATTTGATTAGTTGTGGACAACAATTACACCCTCTTCATAGTGAGGTTATTGTTTACTCACGTTCGGATGCGCAACTTGCTTTCCAGGGATATTCATCAAGCTCCCTTCATGTGATTCTTGTTCCATTTCAGCTGTAAGAATTTTTGCGCCAACTTAGGAATTTAACGAAACACATTCCATTTCTGATGGTCTGATTTCAGATTGATTATATTATCGCGCAGTTTGGAATAATTGCGACAGGTTATTAAAAGAAAAACATGAAAGAAAATTTACACTGAGAAGTTACAGAGTAATAAGTGGGGTGCTGGTCAATACAATAACGATCCGAAATGCGAGTACGATTTACCTTATCACTTCATCAATAAATAGAGGCTTTTTTTCTGACAGTGATCTTCTCTCCTAGCCCGTTTCACCTTCCTTTCCACAGGAATACCAGGGGTGCTCTAAGTAAATAAGTCTTGAGTTACATTTGGTTTCGTTCTGTGATTAATCAGGAAATCCCGAGCCACAATAGTGACCAGACCAAGGTAAAACAATCAAGTCCTGACTTAAGAGAAATTTGCAATTGAGTGTAGGAAATAATCGGAAAATTATATTGGTTTTGGTTTACTTCGCCATGTGATTACGCCTCTCTCTCAACCAATCAAATGCAAAGCCAAACCGATCACGCCTTAAACACTCGCGTTTTCCCGCGCTTTAGGAAGTTAAGTCGGTTTTTCTTCTTGGCTCTTAATGTTTTTTTCCGTTCTTCGGATTGGTATTTGTGACAACTTTGGTTTTGGTTTTGCGGCACCTAATCGAAGAATGGTCTATTACTCGTCATCAAAAAGAGGTTGCACGTTTTTTCTCTGGATGTTCTTTGGCTCCTCGGGATTCATCTGATTCGATTATTTTGGTTTTTTTTTTCACTAGCGAGTGTTTCTCGAAATGTTTTCTTATCTCGATGCAGTCTTCCACCGTCTTCGAATAACAAGCAGATGGGGACTGGGAATTGACGCGTTTGAATGCAGGTGAAGCCCTTTCACCTGATGGAGTTGCCAGGAAACGCAGCGATTCAGGATGTTTCAGTCTTCTTATCAGTAGAAACATGAATAGACAGGGGTACAAAGAAAAATGGATTTAAAGAAGTTAAGGCAAAAAGATCACCTTGTACCCCCCTTAGTTAGAATTTTGCTAAAAACAAGCAGGCAATTTTTCAAAAAGCGTAATGAACATTTTTGCGACGGCAATTAATTAATTTGCCTTCGCAATACTTTAGAGTCGAAAATGAACCACTTAGCTGTTCGTCAAACGTGTAATTTACTTCACTAAAAGCAATTTTTTTGCCGTCTGCCTCTTTGTAGTACACCAATTTCGAACATTTAAAAAAAAAGCACCAAAGATTTAAATCTGTCAATCATTTTTGTTTTGTCTTACCGAAAAAAGAAGACCATTTTTTTAATGCGCGGTTAATCAAAAGACTGCTTACATATCTTGACAAGAAGGAACAGAACGTATTATCGTGTTCTGAAGAGCGTGTAGACTTAACTCAGAAGCAGATAAGACTTTAACAAATACATTTTTTCTGTGCTCAAATGCAGCTGCGAAATTTTCGAGCTAATTTGAATTTAGCTGACTAGCAAAAACGACGTGCGATAATTCATATTTGTTTAACTGGTGACAGTGTGTCACTCGGAGATCGCATACATGACAACAACATTGCATCTATGCACGCCATCCCAAGGAACTGAGTCAAAAATAAATCAACTAACAAATTACATCCCTACCCCTGTGATTACAAAAATTTACCTAGTGTCAAATTCTAATTTGAAGATCGGTATCGTAAATTTTTCGTCTTACCTTATTTAATGAGAGAGAGTCCAACTGCAAAGAAAAGTAAGCATGCTTATGTTCAGGTGAATAATAAAAACCGAATTTAAATATCCGTTTCATTCTATGACTAATGAAATATTTATAAAAACTGCAATTATGAATTTTCTGTACTGTCAGTTATAACCGTGATAATGGCTTGTATGCCTCTCCAGTGGCTTCAAGACGACAACAACTCATGTTATCAACATTTAACCACATTATTTTTGGGCACAGAGGACTTTTTACCCTTTCTTTGAAAGATGATGGAAGCAAAACTTATTGTACTCGCGGTTGTCAATTCCTTACTCAGTGCATTTGGAAGTTTAATGAATTTAGTGGTTGCTTTTGTCATCGTTAACAATCGAAACCTGCAGAAAGGGCTAAATCTTCTGATCTTGAGCCTTTGTGTAGCAGACTTCATGAACTGTGCAATTTCGCAACCGATATATGTGTACGCTGTTCTAAACCTTGGTGAGACAAGCCTAACGTTTATGAAGACTTTTACGATGGTCGCTGTTATCACTCTACACGCTTCCACCATGAATCTACTGGCCATGACAATCCACCGAATAAGAGCGCTTTCCCGCCCTTTTTCGTATCTTTTTCTGTCGAGGCAGCAAGTTGTAATCGCAGTCACCCTGGTTTGGGTAATGTCGGTTCTAGTGGGTGTGTTTTTCGCAACTGATACTGGCAAACTTGTAGCGGCGTATTTTCATTTGGCAATGACATTAGCGTGGATTGCTGGCTATGTCGGCCTCTTTTGTTTGGTTAAAAGGCATAGGGCGAAGATAGTTGCATTGGAAGGTTCACCCACGACACAGTTGCAAACTGCTAGTCTCGAATATGAGAGCGAATCCGTAAAAACCTCGGCCATTTTAGTAGCTTCCTCGCTGATTTGTTTCTTCCCGGATATTGTGTTGGATTTCATGGGACGCGCAGACGAGAGCAGAATGGATTGGGGATTCACCATTTTGTTCCTGAGCTCATCCTTAAATCCTTGCTTAATCATTTGGCGCAGCCACCAGTTTCAGGCCGTACTTACCAAGATGGTGCGAGACATTCGGCAGTGGCAAGGTTTTCAACGGTAAACTGGAGTGCATCGTTTGTGAAGCTTCTATCAAATGGTCCTTGCAAATAAGTCGACGCTCTGTATTTAGTAACAACACTTAAGCTGAAAGCTTTGCTTGTAACTGTCGAAGGTATCTGTGATAACTCCCCTGGAAAAAAGAGACAGAAAGAAATGACAGAAATAATCTCTAAAGCGTCTGTTTGATCACGGTAGTTTTTTGTTTGTGGTGAGCTGTCTACCTGAGCAGTCGTCGTGTTAAATGTTCGATTTATAGAATACTGTTAAAATAGAAAATGGAAAACTTTATTTTAAATTGATCAGTACGCCTTTGTTACTCAGATGGTTAGAATAAAAATTAATTGAGTGATTTAGCTATTTTAGAATTGATGGAAAGAGGAAATAAACTTTATTTCACTAGAGCGAACTATTCTCAAAAATAATTTTCCCTAGACTGGAATTTCACATCGTTATTAATTTGTGCAAAATGCGAAAAGCACGTCGAGCCTCTTAAAATATCATATGTAAACATTTGTTTTAAAAAAAAATAGTTTCTCAAACACGTTGTTTAGTTTTTTCCCTGAACGAACCGATGGTATGTAATGGTTTCTCAAAAGAATCTGAAAATATATGACGATGAAAAAAGAAAAGGTCGCCCGTTTCCGTGTAAAGAAGATAAAAGTTTTAAGCATAAGGAAAATAACAAGAGAATATCAACTGTTTATAATCTCTTGGAAAATAACCACCATATGTTTGAAGGTTGAGACGCGTCGCTCATGCAAGCTCTCAGTCGCACGCACATCATGAAAGGCATCCATTTGTCTGTCCTGATTCATGGAGCTTGCTCCTTTTTTTTTTTCTCGTGTTCCTCAATTTGAACGAGCTGCAGAGGACAGAGTGACCTCCGCGAAGATTTGGGAGAAAAAAAGAATAAGGAGATGTTGAGATATCATCTGTGTCAATTCCAACTTACGCCCAGAATACTTCATTTTCGACTCAGAATTTTTTGAGCCTTAGAAACTGAGCTATCTTCGATTTCTTAGTAGTTATATTCTCCGAAAAAAAGGATAAAATATGAACATTAATGATAATCAATAATTAAAAAAGGCTCGTTAAACAATTTACTGTATGCTGCAGCTGCTGAATTTAAGACAGAGTGGCAGGTTTGTTTTTAAGTCCCTCCAATCATGTGATAGTTTGCAATATGTTTGCTCTGGACATTTTAAAAATCGTACTTTTATTTTTATTTTTATTTTTATTCAAATGTTTAATGAAGTAGCAGCCTCCTGAAGATAAACATTTACGTTCTTTCGCCGCTTCTTAGTCACCTAAATTATTTGGAAAAAAAAAGATATAGTCAAAGATGTAGGACCTACTGAACCGTTTATTCCCTAACATCAGTATCCATATTCTCCGTACTATTCACTATACATTTCCCAAGGTGCTGATAAAGAGAATTTGTTTAATAATCAACAGCTGCTCTAGTTGATGATCATTTCCTCTCTTCTCATGACCTTAATGTTTGATTTAAGGGTGATATTGTAAGGAGAAATTAGATGCTGGTCACTCTTAGGGGTTAAAGGGTTATAAAGAAATAAAAGGATTGCTTTGATTGGAGTTTGATGGTTACTGGGAGGGGGGGGGGAACTGAATTGCACCTTTTCAAGCAGTGACTTGGTACGTTGCTTAGAAACGCCTTGATGTTTGATATGCTTGTTTGATATGCTTGTTTGATATGCTTGTTTGAGGCTTATATAAAGTCAATGAGAAAAGACCCGTCAAGATGCAAGTTGTTTTAAAACATATTGCAACAATATTAATTAAAGATTAAAAATGATCGTTCCAAAAAGAAATTGATCGAAGATTTCGCTCTCTTCTATCAAAAACAGAAGAAAGAGTCAAAGACCTTATATAACTTAGAGTTATTTATAATCAGTCAACGCCGCTAGATTATAATTTTATGTAATTTACGTATCAATATTCTTAAGCATTCTGATAACCGTTCCAAAGCTATAAGGCGCTAAACGATTGAATGTTCTAAAACGCAAATGAAAGTAAGAAAGACGGTCAATCAAGTCGTACTAGAGATCTCAGGGAGCCAATGAGGGCAGTGAACACATGATAATGGTCTTGTATTTGATTGGTGCAGAGCAGGTGATTAATGGCCGTGCAAAACTCTTCAGATCAATCACAGCATTAGGAAGAGCAAAACCAATGCAATCCTGAATCACCATCGACCCTCGGTTGCATTTACTTCAATTCGCTTACATAATAGTACTTGTATTGTCTCATGTTTCCAAATATGCAACTTCGAACTTTGTTAGGGGATGCTAAGCATTTTGGACCCTGGTTGCAATTCTATTTTGTACATCTCTTATTTAGAAATAAAATCTTCTCCGTTGAGCTTTAGCTCTTTTGTGAGTCGTGACGTCGCCCATAGAAACACTCCTTTCCAGACTTAGCGCGCCAAAAAGGGAAGGGACGCTAAAGGACCAAGCCTTTCGAAAGATAAGCTGGGTATCCGTTCATCAATAAATTTTAATAAATTAAATGATTAAATAACCTCAGCAAGCCCGCGATGCCCCGTCCTTACGGTGACTTTTTCTCGGATTTCAAACGTGTGCATTAGTGGCAATTTTTTTTACTCCTTTCTTTGTGAAAATTATAGTGTCACCCCGCCGGCTGTGCCATGCTGACGAGTCTGTCGACCGGCACTTGCACTGAGCTGTCCATAGCTCCAGACCCACATTTGAAAACTATAGTAAAAAAGATTTTTACAATGCCATTTTTGTTACTGGGTTCAAATGAGCCAAAACAAACCAATCACATGATGGGAAAAGAACAGTGACCCCAAATGAATTCAGTTGCGGCAATCAGCGCGTAGGGAAAAAAAAAAACAAGTAAAGGTGACGTATCAGAAAACGCATTATAATCTACCTTGATTTGACGACCGGTTTTTTTTTTGGTCCTTCTTTTTCTTTGAAAAAAATATCTGAAAGAGGGGCACCTTAACGTCAATTTATTTTTATCTATATTCTAATTTTAACAAAAGGTGCTCTCAGCTTGTTCCATTCTGTGCGTCAACTCATTGCATTTAATTTAAAGTGACGTTAGCAGGTAAGCTAAATATTTACGCAAGGAATATTTAGTCGATCTTAACGTGACGTGTATTTTAATTCCTGACAGTTCGCTGTTGAAATGTCGGAAACTCTTTTTATCAAAGAAATCATCGTAGCGCATAATGTTGCACAGCCTTTATTGTAGATAGATGTGAATTTGTTCTTAGAAAAATTTCTTCCACGTGGCCATATGTGAGCGAGTTAGGCTCATTCGTTAGCCAGTGGTTCACAAAAAACATACATAATCAAGTACCGCTTCAATTTTTACTCGCTTCTGTTTTATTTTGACAATATTTACTTGCGATTTTCGAATAGCGATCAACCTACAGTAAAGAATCTATTCCTATAAAGGAAAAAATTGTGTAATACAAGTTTTTTTTAATCTACCTTTTTTTTCGCTACAATTAAAAATACAGAAATCTGTGTTCTAATTACCTTTTTTGCCAATGAAGCTGCAATCGGTCTAATTTTTATCATGAATTCTAAAAGTTAGATCTGCATATATTTGAGACAACCGGTGTTAGAGGTACGAATCAATTTTTTTAAACTTTATTTCGGCCCTCTGCGGAAAGAATTAATCAAACAGAGATTTTCTTGTAAAGAAAGGCTACCGTTCCCTAATGGCCCATCTCATACACATCTGCACGTTTTGCGAAACGCTCTTCTAAACTGCTGACTTCTGCAAACAAAAACACAAGGATTTATTACAGCGTTGGCGAAAAGCAAAGTGTAAGCCCACTGCAATCTGGTTTTTTCAGCCACTCCGAGCAGTTCATACACCACATCGGGAAAGAAACAGATAACAGACGTCCCCACAAGAATTGCCGATGTTTTAGCTGCCTCGCTCTCGTATTTCAAGTTCGCCATCATAAAAGGGCATGAGACCATTCCTTCTTTAGAGGAAATTCTTTGCTTGTGTTGGCGCACAAGCCCGTATATCCCTGCATAGCTTCCAATCCACGCCAGAATGACGAGGAGATGGATATAAGGTGCGGCGGATTTTCCTGGCTCTATATCGAAAAAAACCGCCATTGTGACTGCTGCTGACCAAACGGTAACGATAGCGCACCAAGTTTGCTTTCTAGATATGAGAATGAGATGTCTGAAGAGGCGAGAGAGCGCTCTCAAGCGATACAGCGTTATGGCGGCTAGATTGTTGGTGGAAGCGTGCAGACTAACAAAGGCGAAAAAGTGAAACGCCTTTATCAAATTGTGAAGATCGCTTTCCGTGCCGTGCGCGAGTAGATAGATGTAAATTGGCTGAGCTAGGACGTTGCTAAGAAGATCTGCCAATGATAGGCTTAAAATAAACAGGTTTAGTCCCTTTCGTAGGTCTTTGTTCTTGAAGATCACGAAAACCACTGTAGTGTTCAACACGGTCCCAAACACACCAAGAAGACCATTCAGTATTGATAGGCTAATAACTCGAGTAGAAGTCATCTTTTTTCAGTCTAAAAGACTGGATAATTCCACGTTAACCCATTCGTATCCTTAATAACAGCAAACTGTGCCCTTAGTAAACTTGATCGGTGTGTGTGTTCGCGTCAAATGGACTCAGCCTTCGCAAAGCGGAAGTATCAATTAATTGACAGCAAGGTACATGTAATTTTTTTTTTTCTCGAGTCATGTATTTGGATGTCTTTACAAAACGATCAATGGTTTTAACGTGAACAAGCATTTGAAAGTAAAAAAGTCAGAAATTTCTCAGAAAGATATCTATTAGTTGCCTGAGTACTAATTTAAACTTGATGTTTCCTTTTTAACTTTTTGACCTCTTAGAGTGACCAGCATCTAATTTCTCCTCACAATATCACCCCTGAATCACATATTAGGGTCATGAGAATTAAGAAAGTGATCACTAACTGAAGAAGCTCTTGATTGTTAAACAAATTCTCCTTTGTCAGAAGTATTTGTACGCAGTTTATCTGTCTCAATTCAATGTGGAGCAAGCACCCTTTTATTCAACAAAAGAGATTTCAGTAAATGGATATTTGGATATCAATAAATTTCTGCCAATTAAACTGTTTCAGAAACAATGCAGTGCTTCACAGATGACGCCACTTAGCAACAAAAACTTTAAGAATCTTTTATTTGCCAGTTTTCCCAACGTCAAGGTTTATTTCAAAAAATATAAATAAAAATGGAGAAAAATGAAATTTCAGCTGCCTTTCTACATTTTGCTTGCACGCTCCTCGTAAGGTATCAGGGGGGGTTACACTGAACCCCAGAGAAAATTGCTTTGATCTTTTTCATCGAATATCTCAGTTTTATAAAAGAAAGGTCAATTACAGCCCAAACGTGATGGCAAACATACAACTTTTGTTATTATTCTATCCTTCGCTTTTCGTTTTCTGTTTTCCCATAAAAATAAAACCACGCTTATGTCCGGCCTTTGTACAGGTGTTGTATACAGTGTGTGCAGAATAAAGTAACGATTTTTTCGCTTCCTCTGTTTTAGAGATTTTATCAGTGACTCTCGTCATCCGTCTGCTTGACATTGTATTTTAAGAATTTTCAAGACAATTATCGTATTGATCACAACTGGAAAACGAAGAAGAAACTGAAATTTTCCGCATTTAGAATAATTAAGCGCTTATTGAAAATTCTGGCGAAAAAAAAGGGGGGAGCTTATCAGAAGGAAGGCGCTTAATCGAGGGGGTGCTTATTGAGAAATAGTCAACCTATACTGATTCCAATTTAGTTGAAGCTTTAAAAAGTTTACATTAAGTGGAAATAAAAACCGGTTTTCCTTGTATCCCTGCGTTTTAAGAAAGCAAGGGAAGGGGGGGGGCTTGTTTGATATCATGGCGGGGGGGGGGTGGGCACTTCTTTGGGGGAGAGGGCGCTTATTAGAGCGCGGGCAAAAACCTTTGCATGACGGAGCAGGACATGCTACATGACTGTAGATCTATTGGTTCCCAGTTTCCTCTCCCAGAAAATTGGTAAAGGTGGAAACGAGTGCACGTAACTCGTAAAAACTTGTCTATTATGATGTTTTCTCTTGATGCTGATCTTATTTGTTTAACCCGCAGAGATGTCTCGATCACTGCTGGTTGTTGTAACCATATTTACCCAACTAATCTCCCACGATGGATTTTTCGTGGTATCTCTTGCCTCTAAGACCTGTTCTGCGAAAACTGAAGATTGCAATTTGGCGGAAGTAGATGCTGCACATCCAAAACTTTTTATGCTGGATGGTGTTGAGGTGAAATGAAAATTTGAGTTTTGATCGAGAAAAGATGTAGCTACATAAACATAAACAATTGAAAAAATATATATTTGCCTTATCCATGGATTTGATTTTTAAGGAAGGAATGAGAAATATCACGTATATTTACCTCTCTATCAGTAAGATACCAAGATATTTATTTCGAGGCGGAGGAGTACTTCTTATCTTACCTGTATAGGTGTATGCCACGAAGAGGGTTTGTATCAATTGGGAGATACTTCTTAGTTTAACAGTAACTCATCAGAGCTGAAATTATGAAAAGATTTATTACAGACAGTACAGAGGTTCCCAACAGAAGCATATTTGTCAACTTCTGAAACTAGCTAGTTTTGGAATAATTTAGTCAGAACACGATTTTTTTCTTCTTTCCTCTCTTTCTGAATTTGTAAAAGGTGGGACATGTTCAGGAGGTAAAATTGGTGGAAGGCAGAGTACACCAGTTAATTACTAAAAGCCTTAAACCTCTTCTTTTTGGTAAGTAATGATCACAAGATCACAATTTTATCACTAACCATTAAGCAATGATTTGTAACTAATGTGCCAGTAAGACATTAAGGTTCAAAATGTGCCTGTTGGTGTGGCTAGGTTAAACCAAACCAATCACAATGGAATGTCTGACAGGCTCTATCAAATCCAGTCAAAATATTAGGGTTTGCATTTGAAGTCACTGTAATAAAGTCTTAGTGTAAGACTTTGTTATTATACCATAGTTTAACTACATCTCTGCATTTTTCTGTGAATCATCATCTTGCAACCCTACAGGCAATTTAGGTTTGTTTGATCCTCAATGCTAATTCCAAACCTTGTGCCTTAATAATTTCTCTTTAGGTGTACCCTTTTGATATCATTATTGTTGTTTGCCTTTCTAGAAATACCAGAATTTCTAAGCAATGAGGAATGTGAACACATAATCAAACTTGCTGGCAAAAAAGGCCTTTTTGAAAGCACTACCTTACCTGATCATGAAGATCATTCTGGTGAGAATTAAAAGTGAAGGACTATTCAGATCTCTAATATGTGGATATAGCTTTTTTAACTCTGGTGTGGCTGGAGACAATCTGACCACTTCATTAGCTTACAAGAGAAGACTTCTCTTCACCCAAATCTATCAGCTCTAGTAAGGTCCATTCTAGGGTCAAGGGTGTATATACCAATTTATCTCACTCCTTCTAGCTATGCATTATGAAGATGACTGGGAAAATGTCAGCTTGTTGCTTTTGAAAAATCATAGAATGACTCCATCCCAGGAATAAACCTTAGAGCCCTTTCAATAAATTGAAACCAGTTTATACTCTTGTGTAATGGGAAGAACTATCAGTTCTACCATTCTTTTTTGGACTAATCTTTGGCTATATCCAAGACTTGCAATAAACAATTCAATACAAGGAACTCATTTGTCAATTGTAATTTTACTCCTGTTATCCTAGAGAGGATTATGACCACATTGTAGTTACAGTTTTAAGACCAGATTATCTGATAAGCGGCCTCTTTACTAACCTTTTAGCTTATAGTGATGAGGAAAAGAATGAAAATTGTAAGGATTTACTTTCCAATGACAGAGATAGTGATGGCAAGATCTCCACAGTTGAGGTAAGTCAAAATCAGAGCTCATATACCTCTTTCACTTCTTAGATCTCAAATCTTATTTTCATAAATGATAACAGTACTCTTAATTCCTCTGTTGACTAGTTTTGAGAAACTGGTGTAATATAATAATCTACATTTCTTTATTCATTTGTGCATTGTGATAAGTTCTCATTACCTGCCTAGTGAAAATACTATTTTAAAATTATGTGAAGTCATATTTTGATTGGCCAATGGGTGGATCACAATTGAATTATTATTATTATTATTATTATTATTATTATTTATTGAATTATTACTGAAATGGTACCTAAATAGATTTGTACTGAAATTTTGGTTAATATGGATAAATAGATTGACACTTGTTAACAAGAAACATGGTCTCACTTTTTAGTTTTCCACCTTCATAAAACAGGAGTTTTCAATGTCAGTAAGTGATGCCGATGTGGACATGATGTAAGTTCATGTGTTCAGTTCCTCTTTAACTATTATTTTACTGCTGTGGGCTTTTACACACAAATTGAGTGCCTAGAACAGGCCAAGTCATCCCTAAATGAAAGTCCTAATTTTTGAAATTTTTTTTTTAATCAGGTTGCAAAAAATAAACTTTGATAGAGACAGTGATGGTAAGCTAAGTTCACATGCTTATATTTTGGTTTGGTCATTATTGTACTAATTAAACAAACAAATACATCGTCAAGTGGCTCTGAGGTGCTCAAGTTGGTCACAATCAAATTTCCAGGAAGCCTTTAAAGGTTTCTTTTATTTGTAACTGTGAGAAAATGCACTGTATAGAATACATTACATTACACAGTATCATATATATTATGAAGATCAAGCTTGGACACACTGATGACTTAAGTATGCTATCCATTGATCTGTTATGATGATGAATGGCCATTATGTCAAGGCTTGGCAGGTCTTCCAGAGTGCATCCTGTGGCTGTTCAAAGTCAGGCAAGATCAGATACATATTATAATTCTTTGTTTTTTGGAATTATTTATTAAGCCATGGTTGAGCTGTTGTGTCAAGGTCTCAGGCAAAATGACCCACACAGGTTTCACTTTGCAGCTAGGAGAAATATGCCTCTCCCTGCCTAGGGGTATTAGTGGTTACCAGAAAACTTACAGTGGGGGGAGGGGGGATAACCAGCAATGGTTTGACGAGCCAACTAGGAGAAGTAGCAATGCTCCTATTAATGCTTTGGAAACTGGAAACTTCAATGGGTGAGTAAGTCAGTCTCATATGCAGGCTTTATCTTTCAAGGTTTGATCAGTGAAAAAGAATGCCTCAAGGGCAATCATGTGGCATTTGACAAATACATGACATACCTGGAAGACAATCATCCACGAGAAAGGACAAGACTCAGTAAGCAGACTTGGCTGAGAGTAACAGGCAGCACCGATCTAGTGTTAAGAGACTTGCAAAGAAGGCAGGAAAAGTGTTCTACCATTCACTATGTTAAAAACTATTTCTTGTCTTAACTTTAAGGAATAATCATTTTTTAATGGAATCCACCTTCATGGAAATTTAAAAATTCAAAAAGTGAAAACTAATTTACCTTTCTCCTTTTGCAGAGTGATACAGTTGACAAAACTGCCACAATTTTTTATTGAAAACAGCGAAGACTTACAGGTAAAATATGTACTCTTTGTTAATATAATGGTTTGAAGTTGATTGAAGGTCTGCTGTTAGTTGGTCAATAGTTGGTCAATGGTTGGCCAATATTCCACCCATGGTTGGCTGACTATCAACTAAGAGTTGACCAATGTCTTAATGTCCTGTCATTCAGCTGATGCCACTACAAGGAAAACACTAACTAATGACTGAATATCAGTGGTTATGTAGTGACAATTGATAAACTTTTAACTGAAATAATTATCAATATTGATGCATTGCTTGATTTATCAATCAGCTATCAACTTATTGATTGAATATCAATGGTTATGTAGTGACAATTCACAGACTTTCAACTGATATATTGATGGATATTGATGCATTTATTGATTGATTTATCAACTTATTCTTTGACCAAGGTTACTTATGCCCAACATCTGTAAAATGACAATTTTGCAAATTATGCATCAGGCCTGTGCCAAGCTTATTAATGAAGGCTTGTTTACTCTTTTGATCAGGTTGTCCAGTATGGTGTTCACGGTCATTATCATGCACATTATGACTCTACAAATGAATGGAATGGTGAGGCTTCACGATGCTGTTTTGGGAATTACTCTGATAATTGCAGCTTGTGTAGGTTAGTAAGTCTATGTTATGAATAGCCTCCAATCAGTCTTATATTTTCAGATAGCTTGATTTTTTATTTACCTCATGGTTGAGCACTGTAAGACCTCTTGCTTAATTTGAAAAGCTTTTCAAATAAGTGGCATTGTTTTTTACTTTGTGCAGAGACTATTTCAAATTTACCTTTTTTGAGATTTTAATTGAATATATGTGTCATGAACGTCTATACACGTCAATCACTGTGTGTTACGTTACAGATACTAAGTAATCAATTGCTTATTGTACACTTCAGTCTTGTTGACAATAAACCTTCATTCTGATCAAATGTCAGTGAAATATCTTTGAAACTGGTGCCGAGACCCGGGTCAACCGTATGGCCTGCCACCCAGAGTAGCAGTAGCCACATGTGCATTTCATCAGACCTTTTTTCTTTCTGCCTCAGGTTTATGACAGTGCTCTATTACCTTAATGATGTAAAACGTGGTGGAGAAACAGCCTTTCCAGTTGCTGATGAGAAAAATATCAACCAAACGGTATGAGAAGCGTTCAAAGCAATTGAGGTGAAAGGTGAATTCACTCATTTAAGTAGTGCTTAGGAATTCCCTTCCAGCTTGCCAGCTAATGATACCTTGAAAAATGACTACATGAACAGTGGTACAAGAAACAATTTTGAACGGCAAAATAATTATAATTGAAAGAAGGATCACTTCAGATACGGAAATGACTAAAGTGTTTTTTGAAAATTAAGTCCTCCTCCCCTCATGACCGCCCCCCAATACCGGTACATTACTCTAATCAACATGGTTCTCAAACCAAGTGGGTGTTGTCATGGGAGCCACTTGAAGTAGTAACCAGCTGTGCCATGCAAAGTCCGTTTTTTTCTTAGGCAACTCGACGTGAATGAAAGAGGTTAGCGAGTGAGCAAAAGTTGCGTGAAAATTGAGGGCAGGAAGAACGAACGAGCATACGCCCAAATTTAGCGCGTTTTATCTACAGCCCATTATACCTACTTGATTTTTCTTACTGCCATGGTAATGTCATACTTTATTCCTTGAAACTATGTATAGGAAATTGAAAAGGAAAACCGGACAAATTTAAGCATCCACTGCTATGACGCTAATGTGGTTGTACGTCCTGCAAGAGGCAAAGCTGTAATGTGGTACAATCACATGATCAGTAACGTGACTGGTTTGCTTGGAACACACGACGTACGCTCTTTACACGGAGGGTGTGATGTCCTGGAAGGTTCCAAGTGGATTGCAAACAACTGGATAAATGCACCATTTGAATGGAAAGAAGTCAGCTGATGGCGCTGATTAGAATTTATCTCCATTTTCGTTTGAAATTCAACGCCAAATTCAACGCCAAATGAAGTCTCTCTAGATCTTGATGTAGAGAGTATATATACTTTTGCGATAAAAGTTGATATTTTGCACACATCTCAGTGTTGTTTTCTGGTTGTTATGAGCCCCATAACGTCGTCCTCTAAAAGAAATTCTGGAATGTGAGTAACTGACTAAAGTGGGTTAATGGACTTTAATATACAATTTGGATTGGTCAATGATTTCATATATTTTTTGAAACTGTGTTTCCGCATTAACCTAGTATTGCATAATCTTTCCTAATTTGGTATTTAAACTATTATTTTTTTCCCTGTTACATATTTTAGTGCAGAACAGCAGAACACTTAGGGACGTGTCCGAGTCCGTGATTCACCAGTATATTAGTACACTTTTTTTTTGCTCTGATTAAGGCCTTGAAATCTTCATAGTACATTCGGTGATGAAATTCTCTCCTGATTCTACGTCCATAGTTTACCTCGTCCTATCCAACTGCACTAGGTAGTGTTCAAATAACGCGTGAATCGATTACAAATAGAAGTCGTTATTAGGACAGTTGGTTATCACTAGTAATTTTGTACTGTAAAAAAACCTCTTCAGGCAGTCGCCTGAGCGTGCTACACTTGTCAATCTGCTTCGCTTTTTCAGCCTTACAAGAAATGCTCAGAAAATTAAGCCTTTGGATAATAAATAACTTATCACACGTTTTGGTGTGTAGTATTGTTGCTTATTTTACTCGTTCAGTGTTTGTAATTTTACTCACTCTACGGCCTCGTCCAAATAAAGCAAAACTTTGTAAAAATACTCAGTAATACTACACACCAAAACATCTAATAAGATATGTTATGTAACCTCAAGGAACAAGTCGAGCTTTAGTAAGTAAAATTATCTTCCTTTTTCACAACATCCCTTTACCGAATTTTCATGGATACGAACCATCCTCCGGGAGAGGACGATCTAAATATAAACCCGTTTCAGAAAACACCTTGTGACAGTGGCACAGTTACTATTAAATTAAATGAATTTAAGAAAGTGCTAGTAATGTTATGTCTGCGATGGGATACTTTATAGAAACTAACACAACCACACTCCTTCTGGTAGAATATCCGCTGTTCACAACTGAGCCCTACGTAAAAAAAGCGGAAGTGATCAGAGACATTGATGCAAAGAGATTCTTTCGTGTCTTTCATGTAGGGAGAAATAGAGTCTTATGAATTATTGGTAAGTACATGATAGTGTGGAGAACTTCAAAATATGTTGATTCAATCTTTTTTGTCGCAAATTAGAGGCAAGAGCAATGTTACGCTTTGAATTGGTATCAGTACGTCGCTGTCGGCATTACAGTTTATCACCAATACAGCGGAAGAAAATACTTTTAAAATGTGAAAAAAGGTTTTTTTAATTTCATGATGAGGTTCTTGCTTTATCCTACTTGATCCCTCTTCCGCCTCAGCTACATATGGGAAACTTTTGTGCTCTAGAATTGATAACATGCTAGCGGGTAGACTGCTAAGATGTATCTTTTGGTCTGATTCTGCTAAAACAGTCAACAGAACTTGTAGGAAAATTGTCTAGAAATATTTATGTTTGATTTCATCTTGCTTTGCATAGTTTGATGTGAAGATTTTCTCTCTAGGAAGATTACTTTTGAAGAATAAGTCTGCATAATGGACTCCACTGAGGGGAAATATTCGAGCGAGGAAGTCAATACCGAAGAACTGATTAAAGTAGTCAAGACAATGTTGCTTCAGTCTATATCGCTGGACAACTCGGAAGGTTTCACCATGGCTGTAGAAGCTTTAGAAGAACTCAAGATTGATTTCAATTGGAGTGCCTTTTCCAAATCCCTGGTGCATGGCCGTGGTGAGTGGAATACTCCGCTCACTCTGAGTTCAAAGCTGGGTCGGGTATCCATGGTGAGCGCTTTACTTCAAAAAGGAGCTAATCCCGACTTATGCTCTGATTCCGGAGTTGGGAAATCGACTCAGCGGACGCCTGTCCATGAGGCGAGTAAATCCGGGTATCTTCAAGTTGTCGACTGTCTGCTGACGCATGGGTGTGACGTCAACGTACCTGACGCACGTGGTTGGACACCAATTCACGATGCAATTTGTCATGACAGGATTGAAATTGTTTTCAAGTTACTTGAAAATGGTGCAGATCCAGGAAAAAGCTTTTTCGTAGCTTCTTCAAATTTGAAGAATCTTGATCTCATTGGAAGGGGATCTCTTATGTTTTCTACCAAGCCTTATACATTAGAGTCATCAATGCCCGCGTCCTTTGAGTGGAGTTGTCTATCGTTTGCTGCTAATTGCCACCAGCCTCGGGTAGTGGCGAAGCTAATACACGAATATTTACATGATGCTGTCAAACACCAAAGTTCATCTGGTAGAACTGCTCTTCACGAGGCTGTCAACTTACCAGAAGGTTTGAATCTCGATAAGGAAGCTGTTGTTCGAAATCGGCACGAAACTATGAAAATCTTACTGAATGCAGGTGTCGATCCAAATTTGCCAGATCACTTGGGAAAAAACGCTCTTCATCTCTTCTTAGACCATGTTAATTTAGCCAAAGTTGTCGTGAAGAAATATTCCGAGATCGTTCCAGAAACAATCCTCTTACTGCACGAATATGGCATTCGTCTAGACATGTCGGACCACACGGGAAGGACTGTCCTTCACCAAGCCGCTGCCTTTGGCCTGGTAGAGGCAGTGCAGATTATTCTTAACCTTGGTGCTGATCTTCACGGCGTAGACAACGATGGAAACACGCCAGCACATGTCGCAGCTAACCACGGTAATTTTGAAGTACTAAGCAGCCTGATGAATCACTTTTCACATGCGGAGCTGTTCAACCTTCACGGAAATACGGTGTTACATTGCGCGATAATGCCAAAAGCCGACGAGGATGCTCTGATACGGGTCGCGCAGACTGTGATAAGCGAGAAGGGCTCTTATAAAACGCGGGTTAACGCTGATGGAGCATCAGAATATGACCTGGCTGTAAAGTTTCAGTTCAACGCACTGGCCCGCTTCCTTTTTGACCACAGTGATGATGCTATGGTTGCCAGTTCTGATGGCCTGTCGGATACTACAGAAGTCCGACATGAACGAGGTGCAGGTAATGAAAGCAGTAGCCTTGAAATGAGGACCGAAGAGAGCCCTATGGCTAGTGAAGGTGTCAGAGATCGCAATGGGCAATTTACTTTAGGTAATGAAAATGATTTTGATGAGAACTGTGAGGACTCTGAAATACCTGAATTGAGAATAGACGCCGACACAGACGTCAACGAGTATTTAATGAATCTTTGTTACGAATATCGCGTTAGAGGCTTTCACTTGGAAGGTGAGGGAATGTGCCACGAGAGATGCAAAATTGCTAAACAGACCGTGGATTTTGTAGAAGAACTTTTGAAACTGGTTTCTGAGGAAGATAGGAAGTTCAACAGTAAAATTTTAAGCACCGGAAGTGCTTTTGAAGGCTACAGAATCGGTAAGCCCGACGAATTCGATTACATGTGTGAATTAGAATCCTTGACGGATGAAAAATGTGAAATTCTCCCGACTGAAGATCCTGGGTTTGTTCGTGTCCGAGTTAAAGAGGATTACAGAGAAGAATGGAGGATGTTTCTATCTGAAGAAGGATTTCTTGACGCCTCAAAAATCAAATATTTCCTGGCGGAAAAGTTGTACGTGAAGTCTGGTTCGAAAGCCTTTGCTCGAAAACGATGGAATTTGAGCTTTAACACGACAAGCTATGATTCTTGCGTGCTATGTCAACCAGTCATAGCCACGAGCAAAGCTGGTTTGAAGATGACTTTGTTTTGGCGTGGTAATGTCTATAAATTCATGCCTATCGATATTGACATCACACCAGCAATGCACATTCCCGGGTGGCCAAAGTCAGCTAAAGTACCCCCATCCCACGTCCTGAGCAGCTGTGACGAAGTGGGGTATCATATTGTTCCCAAGTCAGAAGGAGGAGATTCTTTGTTGTGGAGATTGTCCTTTTCCGTTGCCGAACTGCAGATTCTACAAAACACAACTCCAATCCAAGCAGCCTGTTATACAGCTCTGAAAATAATCAAAGGACAGACGTCATTCAGAGGTGTACGCTCGCAATTTTTCGCTCATTTTGGCTTCCTTCACACTTACGTTCTCAAGATGAAGTTCTTTGAAGAACTAGAGCGCTACCAGGACCAAGAGATGTGGCAAGAAGGCAAGCTAGTTGAGCGGATCTGCTCCGTGTTAGAATCTACGGCACGTCTTCTAAGCCAGAAACGGCCTTCCCAAGTGGAATCCTACTTCTTGCCAGGACACAGAGTCCTTCGACAGGCGGACAAACACTTCGGAAATTTCGTGGCAGCATCTATCAAAACGACCCTTCGGAAGGTAATACGAATGTTGCGCAAGGAACAAGAAGCGCTGGCTGAAAACTCACCGGACGGCACTAGCTTCACAATGCGGTTTGACCCGGATTCAGGTTCAGAATCAGACAGTGAAAGTGGTGCAATTCTTAACGATCCAGGTACAGTGGCCAATAACATTGCTGCTTCGCTACTGTCATCTATATGCGAGGGTAAATAAATTATACTTCAGGAGCTCTAAGTAGATTCATTAGTAGCCATTTCATAGGACTCTGGGATGATAATTGTATTAACAGTATAACTTACTCTTCCCAAAAATATTTGAACAATTAGAACCTAAATTTTAATCCACTGAAGGGAAATGTTTTGATGCGTAACTCTGAAAGACTTCTATTAAAATGACCAAAAGAACAGAAAGCTTAAATAAAACATTATATTTGTGTAAAAACTTCATTACAATAATTACAACAAATGGTTCCTTTGCCTCTCTCTATCTCCAACACACTTAAGACTTTTCTTTCCTTGTAGCAGTTACTTGGTACATTTTCTAGAAATTTCTCGAAACAAATTTGTTTCAAGAGTTGTAAAAGCTGATAACAACAAAAACAAACAAACAAAAAAAAAAACGAAGAAACTTGTGAAGTTAACAGCGTTTCAAGTCTTCCCAATTTAGCGCAGATTGTTGTATCTGCGGCGTTAGATGACGTTTTCAAACTCGTTAATGAAATGAA